CCCCCGCGAGGAGCGGGGCGGCGGCGAAACACCCGCCCCCCCCCTCCGCCCCGCGGTGCTGCCCGAGGCAGGGCGGGGAGAGGCCGGGGTCCCCCCCAGCCCGGGGGTAAGGGAGAGCTGGGCCCGCGGGGTGCCCGAGATCCCTGCCTCGTTAGTTAATGCATCGCTGTTTGTATTTGTGGAGGGGAGAGGGATCTCTACCGGAGCTCTGGCGAGGAGGGAATTACACAGACATCCGTTGTTGTTGTTATTATCATTGTTATTATCTAATAGTCTACATCAGGGCTCGGGGGCAGCTGTAGAGCTCTTGGTCAGCTCGTCCTGCTGCGAGCCATCTCGGGAACTTCTTTACTTTCCACCCATCCGCCCGCCCTGGCACTTCTGTTGGATTCAAATGAGAAAGTGACAACAATTGTCAGATGTTCTGCGAGCACATAATTGTGTTGATGGTACACCCAGAGGCTTTGCACGTACCTGTGCGTGTAGGTATGCACCTGTAAGCGGAGTCACAGGTATTAACTTTGTTTCTATTAAAAAAAAAAAAAAAAGGCAGCAGCCCACACACAATTGGGGTTGCAAGGCTGTACATCCCACCCCCGCTGACCATAACAGCCAGGGAAATCAGCAACCAAGTCAAATATTACTTCATCCACCACCCCTCACTCATGAGTCCCCAGTCCACAGCTCACGGGTTAGTGAGCAACAAAAAGCTTGGGAGACCTTCTCATACTGCTGAGACCTACAGGAAATTAAAAAAGTTAAAGCTGAAGGCCATTAGGGAGAGTAAAGTATGATGCTGCCCAAACCTCTTAATGCTGAGGGAGTTAATGTCCGGGGTCAGAAAAGGTTGAGGATCACTAGTTCTACACATAGTCATTAGTCTGAGTCTCAGCTCATGTTATCTCTGTACACAATTTAAGTAACTACTTAAATACCCCTTACGTTTTGACTGGGAATGATCCTTGTCTGTGTGCTGTGATAATTAACACAGTGCTGGCACTTCTTTCCTCTTCCACGTTGTATCTGATTTTTGTGGATACTAGAAAATAGATGGTCCAGTTGGAAATGATAACTTCAGAACATGTCTTGGGATCATATTTAGACAAAAGCATATAAATGGATTATCTAGAGTAGAGATTTTAAAGAGTTATAAATGCTATGGTTATCAGCCTTGGTTTGTCTTGGTGAGATACTAATGGTCAAATTAAGGCTGCACATCAACTCTTGGGGATAAATCGCCATCCCCCTCACCTGAAAATTGCTTCCCCCCCTCTCCAGCTGCCTGTGTCCCATATCCTCAGGTCTCTCCCAAGTGTTTCACAGTGAGTTGTCAACAAAGCTCTCAGGGTGAACTGCTGTGCTTGAGGAAAGAGTAGCAGTACTTCAGGCTGGAAGACCCAGGAAGGATTATGGTAACGGCGTTCTGCAGGAGACTTAGGCCACGGGGCTCGTGTTGGAGAACAGGGGGATGTGTATATCACATTATTTCTTAAATGGATTTTACCGCATAGGAATTCTATTTTAATAGACTATTCCTCATTGAACTAAATCAAAACCAAGCACGATGCACTTGTCAAATCAAAACAAGAAATTAATTTTGGGTAGGCAGAATGTATTTATTTAATCATAAATTTAAGTCAAACATCATGTCTTGCATGCTGTGTCTTAGGAAAAGTTTTATGAGCTCTTAGGCAGGATTTTTTCTTTTTCCTTGTCTTTTATTGGTATTATTCTATAATTTCTTATTATTGTCTCTTTCTAAACAGGGACTGACTGGAATACACAGTTAAACAGGGGAAGATGGAAGAACTTTTGTACCTCTGAATACAATATATCAATACAATACCCAATCTGCCTTTCCTGTTTTCAAAAATAATCAGATTATTAGTCCCTTACTCCTTATGCACATTCTGGCATGTGAGGAGAGTGAAGCCTTTCTCAGTCTCTCCTCTCTGCTCAGCTGGTGGAGCAGGTGTTGGGGAGATGCCCTCTCAACTCCCCCACCCCTGTGTTTGAAGTGAATTCTGCTCAAAGGTCCACCAGATATATTTTATTCCCTTTTATAACCCCTCTAGGGTCAAGTTGCAATCAGGCCTTTTGATTTCATCCTCTTTGGAACAGGGACATTGTCGTCTTCTTGAATGTAATGTGCGATATAAATGACAAAACATTTCAGAGAAATAATGATATCTCCAGCCACACAGTGTCCCCTGGCACTATGTTGGGAGCATTAATCCAGAAACAACTCAGATTCCCGTTTACTAAACCGCCACCACATCTCAGTGGCTGCGTGCACTGCAGGTTTTGCTCACCACTGTCCATGATTTAGTGAATATAACATTAGAAAATCCTTTTTGTTTTCTAGGGACCATTTTGGTTATGAGACCATACCATTCCTTCCCTTTTGCTTTTCCTCCCCATGTTGAGATCAAGCATTGTGGATGCAGGACAAACAGTGCGGGAATATCAGTGGTCATTAATATTAAATACTTTGCCTTAGCAGTACGGTGGGAATGCTAATGAGGATGACTAATCTTTGAGAAGCCATTTTTTCTGCCTGAATTTGAAGTGGGCACTAACCAAACAACAGTTCACGTGGGGAAGGATACTGTGAAGCTGACAGAAGCAATGGACAATTTCTGTTTTCACTGTCTCTTCGCTGATTAGAATATGCAGGCAAAAATAGATACAAGAGAAGAAAAGTCTAGGGACTCTGAAAGAGATAATTAAAACTCATATGTCTCTTGGGTAAAGGGAGGAATTTTGCTTAGATTGGGTTTTGGCAAGATCTGTAATTCATGCTTTCTCTGTGAAAAGGAGTTACGGCTTTTTATGTATCAAGGTCACCATAGTCCTTCTAGTTAGCTCCCATCATCAAAATGCTCCTTAATCCCACAAGTTTATTTACAGTTGTTTATTTAGGAAGGGATACCTAAGTGGACTAACAACATCAGAGAAGAGAGGGACATTATCTACAACGAGAGGGGGCATTGGAGCAGCCACCAGGAGCACAGAACAGATAGTGCAAACCAGAAATATAGAAACAGTTTTTTGAGGCCAGATGTTCCAGCTTTGATGGCTTTTTCTTCAGCAGCAAGAATTCTGGGCTCGCTTTTCTCAACTCTTTCTCCAATCCTACACAGGTGGTGGGAGAGCAGGGAAAAGGAACAAGGCAAAGAACGATACAGGAGCTACCAACCATCCTTGGAGAGAAATCCTTTTTACCGCAATATAGCACACAAGGGAGCTGCTTTTGATAGCAAACTCCAAACAGCATTTTGAGCTCAAAACCCTTTAAAACAAAAAAAACCCAAGGACTGGAAAGTTTGTGATAGAACACCCTTAGAATGAGCGGACTTGGAGAGAAAACGTAACACAGTGATGAGAATGAGTTTTAAAAATGATTGTTTATCACAGAACAGCAGTGGATATCTATGGTGTATTTAATATGGAACCTTAATCCTCACGTGTGCCATCTATATCTAATACACATTCTTCCAGACGTTTCTGGCCCAGGAGATCTACATTGTTTTTTAAAGAGGGAATTCCAAGAATTATGGTGGATTTTTTTTCCAATTTCATTAATTTGAAATACCCTCTCAATTCTCCCTCCTGAGCCAACAGTATGTCTGGTTAAACATCAGGCTTGATATTCTGGCTGCCCTTGCAAAAGAAAATGCAAGAAAATCTTTTTGCCTGTGCTGCTGAGACAGTTCCATCCTCTGCTTTTCATTTCCAGTTGTGTATTCACTAAAGAGGATCGGAGCAGTTGTGCTTACAGTTGTAAACTGTAGCAGATAATTTGGTGCTTTAATTTCTCCCTGATTCTGTTTATGAAGTAGGAAGCATTTTGTTATTTTTTATGAAAATTCTATCCCTTCTTTGAAATTATTTGCTGAATAATTCTTTGTTGGCATATCTCGGGTGATGCGTTTTGAACATTATGTAGCTGTGAGGCACAGGCTGTTTTTGTCTAGAGATGTTAACAAGCTTCTGCTTTCTGTTTAGCTGACTCTAACTTTCAGTAGCTGTTGTAACTGTCCAGATTGCACATTTTCTGGGGAGACTATGCAGATTTTGAGACTGAACATTGTTGTCTGTTAACTTTATCTTAGTTGTTGTTATTTTTTCAATTAGTCACTTCTTCAGGAATTCACTAGAATTAATTGATTGCAGAAATCAAATAGTTGGGCTCAAACCCACTGCTGTGAATTGGAAGGTTTTTCTCAAGCTACTGTTTTTGTCTGCTCTCTTAGTTTGAGAAGAATTCATTAAGCTGGCAGTATTTTGATGTAAATATTAGATGCTAGATGAATATTCATCACATTTCTGTCCTGATCTCAAAGTCTGCATCCCAAAATGTTCAAGGTTTTCTGAGGCTGGGTGAGTTAGGCACTCTCCTGCATGCTATCTTTTAACGTTCATGTTCACTCTTACAGAACATCTCCTCAAAAGGAGGCAGCATTTGGCCTCAACACTAGAGCTGAATCTTCTCTGATAGCTCTTGACAGCCCTACACACACCTCATTGGTACTGACCTCTCAGGTACTGTCTCTGTCATTACTTCTGTGCCATTGTTCTCTCTAGCAATTTGTGTCTCCCCTGCCTCATTCTTCACTGTCTTTCTTGCATTACTGCAATAAACAGGGTCATACAAAAAAAGGGCAAAGGAAATGTGTCTTTGAGGAGGGGAGTGGGGGGCTGAAATCAGGCACATGTCAATAGAATTGTCCATTGTTCTGATAGAAATCCAGTAGTTTTCAACCAGAAACCTGGAGTCACAGACACAGTAGAACTGTGTGCAATATCAGACTTCAAATAAATGGCAGGTACCTCTAGGAGTGTTGGAAACATCATCTTTTTTGTTTATTTTTAGTTGATCTTGTTTCACAGCCTTCAACATGGTCATCCATTGTGAAGTTCAAAGAGGCTTAAATGCTCTAA